GGGCATGTGCCACCATGCCAAGAATTGTACTTGACATTTTTAATAGTCTGCCTGTTTTCCTGTCCTTATCTATGTGACACAAACATAAATTGAACTCTCAGTAGACTCTACCCTGTAAATGGCAGTAGCATAGATGTGTTCTTGTGTCCTTTCCATGATAGCTAGCAGCAGGTAAACTTTATAAACCTTCTCACTGGTACAACTTTTCTATTCCTGCTCTGAATGTGCACACAATATGGAATCATTAAGGCATTAGAACATGATCACAAGCTTTAAGCCATATTGCCTGAAGCATTTACTGATCATTTCTCCCCTATGTAAGTAACATCATAGGCTTCTAACTTGTGAAGAAGCTCGGCCTGAATCTGTCTTAAATTTGCTCCAGCTATGTTATGTTGAAATATCATATCCTGATGCAAAAATTAAATAAAAGTTCTTATCAGCAGAAAGTTTGCTCGGTTGCCTGTCATCAAGCCTTCCTGACAGTTTAAGTAGAGACAGAGGAGACAAAAAGTCTCCTAATGTTTAAAAAAATTGAAATTCACAGATGGAAGAGTATGCTAAGTTAGATCTAAAATTAAGCTACACCATAGTACCCAGATTTCCTACATTTTCTAGGAAGAGACACAGATATGTGGTCCCACCGAGTCTCCATACCTTCTTGCTTAAATGATGTGTTACTTAAAAATAAGCAACTAATCAAGTTTTTCTGGGTCTATCTTTAGGAGATTCAACTATCAGTAGGAATGGCAACTGGGAAGCTAGACGGGGTAGAATGTGTAACTGGAGGTTTCTCTAACCACTCTGAGGCTTAATATTAATTATAAACTATTTGACCTGTTAGCTCAGACTTATTATTGACTAGCTATTACAACCCATTTCTATTATTCTATATTTTACCATGAGGCTCGTGGCGTATTACCTCACATCTTGCTTCCCCAGTGGCTGCTGACTTCTCTCTAACTCTGCCTTCTTTCCCCCTGTATCTCTGCTTGGAGTTCTTGTTTGGCTCTATTGTGCCTGGCTATTGGCCAAGTCAGCTTCTTTATTAACCAATGGAAATAAAACATATTCACAGCATACAGACATCAAGGATACATAGCCAGAAACTATAGAAAGGAGTGATATGAAGGTAAAGATTGGAAACCTAGGCTGAAGAGGACACTGTGAGAAACTGAAGTGGAATTAAGCTTTCACTTGGTGACATTTCAGATAAAAAAGAAGCGAAACTATCATCATAAAATTTCTGGTTCCTTTCTCTATCTTTTGTATAGAAAGATACTTAATATATGTGCTTTAGCAGAAGCATTTGCCTCTTTTTGAAAAGACAAGTCTTTGGCATTGGTTCTAATTGCTGCCAATCAATGAGGAGACTGGGTCAGATTTTAGCTACCTAAGAAGACAACAAAGTAGTCTAATTCTGGTTATTTTGAACCATAGCTCCAAGATCTTTGCAAACCTAATTCAATCCATCTGCTTTTAATGGCATGCATCACATTACCTTGTCTGAACTCTGGTATTCTTTATAAGAATGTTTTTCAAACTACTGATCAGGGTCCAGTAGGGTTAATTAATTCACTTAAGTAGGTTGGACCACTGGTTTTGAAAGTTTAAATAAAGATATAATGAGGCAAAATATGAAGGAAGATGTATTGTACAGATAACCAACTATGCACTTGATCTCTAAATAGTATCAATGTAAGATAAAAATGCCTTCGTACTTGTCTGAAAGACAGTGTAGGTTAGATGAGCCTTTGCCTTCACACTTGTCATCTGGAAATGGCAGTATTCATGTCAGGAGACAACCAATAAGAAAAGAGAAAATTAGTGTTGTACAAGAACTGTACTAAGTGTAGGCCCAGCAGTAGTTTGAATCTCATCTTCCCATGTCACATGGGTCAACAATGTGTGGACCCAATCTAACTGTAAGGAAGGCTATCTTCTTATTCATATAAAAGAGAAGTGGAAATAAACTGTGTGTCATTTCCTAATACTTATGCCCATTTATGCTTTCCTTAAGAAAACAGTTGAAGTAATTTTGAGCACCTCTAATGGATAAGGCATTTTACTTGCATGGAATGATCAGCTTTCTGTTTCCCTTCCTTATCTATCTAGCTCATCAGCAACTGTCAAGCTATGTATCCCCAATGGGTTTTACCAAAAAATTAATCAACCATAGTTTAAAACTGTCTTTTCTATGACAATCTTTGTTTACAACTCTGCGTGACCTACATTACAAGTCTGAGCTTCTGTTTTGTTTTGTTCAGTCTCCATTAGGATTTGAATATTAAGTGTTCCATAAAAATAATTTATGGGTTGAACACACAATCCCCAAATGGCACCTCCAATCATTAAGAGGTAGTTGGGTCATGAAGGCACTGATCTGATCAATGGGTGAATTCACTGACTTGGTCATAGTTTGATGGTATTATCTGGAGGTGATGGAAACTAAAAGGTGCATTCTGGGTGGAAGAACCAGATCACTGGGGACAAACTTTTGACAAGTTTATCTTGTACATGTCCTCTTCCTGTATGTCTATCTCTGTTTCCCAACTAACATGAGATTACACACTCCTATTGCCATGGCGCCCTGCCTCACAAAAGGCCCCACATAGTGGTCCCATGTGACTGTGAAACAAAACATCCTAAACAGAGAGTTAGTATACACCTTTCCTTCTTTTGAGTATCTCCCCCTGAGCTTTTTTGTCACAGTGATTAAAGGTAAATAAATAAATAAAACTAATGCAGTCTTCTGAACACATCATCTGTCTGTCTTTACAAGTCCTTCATTGCTAGAGTCCAGACTGTGATGTGTGGACTGAACTGAGTCCTTCCTCAAATCCCTAATATGAGTTCATTTAAAGGAAGATGTTTTTAAAGTAATTACAGCTAAATCAATTTTCAAGGGTATAATCTTCATTTTGTAGCATTGGTGGCTTTAAACGAAGTGGCCTTTCTTTTTACAAGTCACATGTGGATAGAAGGTCATGTGAGGACACATGAGAAAATGGCTATCTGCATGCCAGGAAAAAAGTTTACTAGAGTCCAGCTAAGTGAGTGCTGTGACATTTCTTAGGCTTCTAGCCGCTAAAACACTAAAGACTGTATTATCTTATTTATGACACCAGTCTAAGGTTTTTTTTTTGTTACTGTACCCTGACTGGACTAAGACAGACACTTCTCTGTAATATCATAATTACATATAGATATTAAGGGTCTCCTCTGGGAAGCATCTTCTTGTGTATAATAGCAGCCTTCATCTCTCACCTTCCTCTGCATATATCACACACTCAGTGGTCATTACTAGAGAATACATCAAGTCATACACTAATTATGAATATACCTAGAGTAAAGGGAAAATGCCTAATCCTGTGTGCACAGAAAGTAACTGAAATAGTCATTCATTAAATTTCACACTAAGTGATTTATACATGTTATCTAAAGTAATCGTTCCATTAAACATAAGAGGCAGACAATATTATCACCATCTTTCAAGTAAGAAAGCAAGCTCAAAAAGCTCTATAATGTTACTCAAGGAAGCAGATGTACTGACATTTGAACAAATATATGTGGATCCAAAGTTTCATTCAATATTATATCATTGATCTCTTGTCATCTCTTTCCCCTATTTGGCCAAGCTTTTGGAGTTGGTTGGTGGACCATAGCTCAACAATAAAGGTCTAAGTCTCCTTTAGGCCCTATCTACTTCCATATTTTCCCATCTTCTCTACTACTTTTCTTTGGATTCCTTTGCCCCACCCAGATCCTGAACATACTGTCATCTACAGCATTGGGGTTCATATTCTAATTAATGCCACACAATAATATAATATTGACATCATATATCCTTTATCTACTTTCTTTAGTGGCCTACTCAATATAACAACTTAATTACCTTAATTAAAGAACACTTGTTCTGTTTTCTTTTAAAGTTGTAAATCTGTTTTTTTGCCATACTTATTGCTGCAAAAGACAGAAACTAAATCTTTTGCTAACTTGCTTAAATCCATTGACTCTATGCTGTTATGAGCAAACGTTTGCCATCAGAATTGTAAATTTCTTTCTCATCCTTAGAAGGCACTCATAAGTGATACATGATCTAAATTCTGAAACTATTGCCAAAAAAGAACAATAAAATAGCAGGCTCACTGAAACTGAATATTTTGATGACTTAGATAATGTATAACAGTATAAATAGATTAAGAAAGTCAAGAACGATTCATACCCAATCTCTAATGCATGATTCCATGCTAAGGCAAAAGAAGTCCCTGTAGCATAAACTTTATATATGTCCTTTAAAAAAGAAACATGTCATTTAAATGCATTGGCGGTCCTAATGTATTTTGGTCTTAAAATATCTGAGTCATTTTTCAGTTGAGTGCAGCCCATAGCAAATCCATATTGGTTTTTAAAAGTATATTAAAAATAATTTGGCTAATAACCCTCATTACTGTTTCATATCAAGTCTTATCATGATTAATAACATTTAATTATCACTCTTTATGTCACTTTTATTTAGTAACATATAAATGTTTGCCAAAAGATACTTTTTTCTTTTTTTTATTTAGAGATAACCATTTTAAATATCAATTCACCACCCTCTTCCCTCTTCTTCCCATCCTCCCATGCACCCTACTAGCCCCTCTAACCCACCCCCACCCACTCCCCAAGAACAGTGAGGCCTTCCATGGGGAATCATCAAAGTCTGTCACATCATTTGGGGGAGAGGCTAGGTCCTCCTCTGTTTATCTGGGCTGAAATAGTATCCTTTCATAGGAAATGGGCTCCCAAAATCCATTTGTGCACTTGTGATAAATACTGGTCCCATAGACTGACCAGGATTCCTAACTGGTACCCACATTCAGAGGGTTTGATTCAGTCCAATGTTGTTTCCCCAGTTTTATGACTGGGGTTCATGTGCTCTCACTAGGTTAGGACAGCTGGTTCTGTAGGTTTCTCCAGCATGGCCTTGGCTCCTTTGCTCAGTGCTTGGATGTGGCGTTCCTGCTTCTGCTTCCATCAGCTACTGGATGAAGGCTCTAGGATGACAATTAAGGTAGTCATCAATCTCATTATAGGGGAAGGGGATAAAAGGCAGCCTTTCAACTACTGCCTGTATTCTTAGTCGGGGTCATCTTTGTGGATCTCTGAACATACTTTTTAATAAGTTAATAGACTATTGTTGAATATTGGGGCTAGGCAGCTTAAAATGGAACCAATTAACCTTTTCTCTATTCTGACTCAAAAGTATATTCCCTCCAATAAGTTGAGATCCTGGATTTTCTGGCAACATAATCAAAATTCTAAAATGTAACAAACCACCTTCCTAGATACATTCACTTTTGGGGGGAGTGTTCTAAATAGAGAGGAAAGCACAAAGTATTGTAATGGGACTTGGATGTCAGCCTGGTCCCATTGATTTTAGGGTTTGTTTTCTTTTGTTGTCTTTTTAAAGAATGAATATAAATGTACTAGCATTATTATTGACTTCTATTTAAGTTTTATAAGGGTTGTTAGTCCACAGCCAATTGCCTCTTAATTGTTCAGCAAGGTCTTGGGTGGCTTTCAGCTCAACCTGTGTGTTCTAATGGAATGTAACCTAATTGCAAATATTGGCTAATCATGAATCATGTAACTCTCATTCCATGGAAAGCCACATGTAAAATTCTCCCACTAGAAATGCATTCATCCCAATTACCTGCTATTCTAGATTATTCACACTGCTGCTCTTTTGCACTTAAAATATTTTTTTTTATGTCTACCAGATGGTTTCTGGGTTTAGAATAAGAAAAGCAAAATGAAAAGACTTAATTTGCATCATCAATAAGCATAATGACTGACAAACAGTATATGCATGAATTAGCATATACTTTAGTATTATGTATTTAAATGCTTGTGAGAACTATTGTGTAGTGTTAATGTCACCAATTCCTATTTTGTAGATGTGAAAAATCTCAGTAAGTCCAAGGTCCACAGAGTTAGTTTAACTTCAAAGTTAAAGAGCTGATTTCAGACCTTCCATTTATATCAAAAATAGTTTTGTCTAGTTCCAAAACTACAGGCTTATTATTTCCTTCTATACTCTCTAGTCATTTAAATACATGAATGTTTAGTAAACTTAATATTTTTCAATATGTTCTATAGCCAAGTGTGGTGCTCATTCTGGGGGCTGTGACAGAAGGTGTGTGCATTTGAGGACAGTCTGGTGACATAGGTTATGTCACAAAATCTTTTGAAGTCTTTATTGTAATTAATGTTTACATTTTCCTACCTAGAATTTCCCATTTTAAATAAACTTTATTTCTGTAGGAAAATACTACCTTAGAATACTTTAGGTACTAAGATACCATTCAAGAGCTCATATTAGAAGTAAACTTTGAGTTCCTGCATATGTAGAAACCACATATAGGGAATACCTTCCTTTGAGTTAGGCATCCTTAAGTAAAGTGGTCAGTTTGCATCAAGAAGCTAGCCCTTAGAAGGGCCAAGAAGGACTCAGCTATCCTCAGATTAAGGAATGACTTTTAACACACCCAGGAAGAAGTGAGTCAACAGGGAAGAATGTAAATCAAAAGGAACATATAAAAGGAAAAAAACAATCACTTTTATGTAAATTGAAATATTTGCTTTTGCCAAAAAGGAAATTCTGGGAAAGATCTTCCCTGAACATCAGCCAAGTCCAGGCGAGGTTCCCCAGCTTTCATCGCTCTGTCAGGAACAATTTTCTCAGACCAGTGGGCATATAGGACAAGAATGGAAATGAGATGGATTCACTGCATGGTGACTGGGAAATTACGGAGGGGTTGCTGCTGATGGTTTGTATTGCCTTCTTCTCTGTTGTTTAGTTGTTTTCTTTTCCTTTTTAAAAGTCAAATTATCTCCAGCCCCGTTTCCTTGAACAATTTTCAGAACTCTAACCTGGGACTAAGACTATGTGATTTAGGACAATTTCTAAATTTATATAGCTGACTGGAATCTGCTATTAAAGTTTTTAAAATTGAGGTTAATTTTTATTTGGTGAATTACTGTTCAATGGAAATTGACTTCAGTTTTATTACATCTAAATCTGTGTGTTTATTTGTTAAAATCATTGGGCATGTGTGGTGTTTTTTACTTTATAAAAGGTTACTAACTTATGGAAATATTGTTTACACTAATTGTCAAATGGATATCTTACATTTCACATACCACACTGCTGCTATTTTAATGCACATGATTTAATACCTTGCAGCACTTCCAAGCAATCTTACGAAAAATACAATTTTCTTAAAAACAGATCACTGTGCATTTTTGAAAAGCAAAAAAAGCTTTATTTTAATACTCCCAGATCCCTAAATATTTACAATATTTTCCCTAAAATTCCCTCTTAGCACATTGCTTGACTGTCTCAAATTATCTCTCCAGGGTGCCTGTATTAGAGTTTCCTTGCTGGTGCAACAAATCACTGTAAACACTGTGGTCTAATGCCACATAAATCTTTCTCATAGTTTTGTGGGTCAAAAGTTCAATGCAGGTTTTCAAGTACTGCTAGCCTAGGCTCCTATCAACACTCTGGGGAGATTGCACGTCCTCTTCATCCATCTCTTAACCAGAACCCAGGGCTGCACAGTCATAGAACTGAGATCTTTGTTTCCTTGTAGATTGTCAGCTGGTTCCTTTAACTTCTGGAAGCTTCTCTCTGATCTTTGCACCTGGTGGCTACATCCTCAAAGCCTAGCTGGAGGGTATTGGCCCCGCCTCATGCTGCCATCTCTCTTGGTCACAGCTGGAAAAGTGTGTCAGTTTTTAAGGCCTTGTGGAATTAGACTGGGCCCCCGGAGATAATCCGGGATATTTTCACAACTTTAAGCCTTTTAAACTTCATCCCATCTGCAATATCTCTTTTGCCTTGTAAGGTAATATTTTTATAAGCTATGGGGTTTAAAGCATGGACATTAGGAGAAAGGGCATTATATTGCCTACTATGTCTCTCCTTACCACAGTGAAAACCTGCCTCCCTGCAGAAGCCTTCCAGCAGTTCAACTAGTTCAACTAGTGTTCCAGGCTTACTGCAGAAGCAGAGTGGGATATTACTGCTGCCTCCTATTTGTCCTTATCCAACGTACTCAGTTTTTCTTCCTATCCCTTTGTTTACATGAACCAATTGTTGTTATATGCATTTTGTTTAATTTGTGATTATGGTGTTGGAAGTGCACCAGATTACTTCTAGAATTGCTTAGGCTACATCCAATGCTCAATTATCACATTTCCTAGATCATAACAAACAACCTACTTTCATCTCCCTTTAATGGAGCAATGCTTTGGCCATTATGTTATTTGGAATTGTTTCCTCTTATTACTAAACCCTAAACACTTTGCTTTTATACCATGGTTGGTAAGCTTTTTTTTTTCATTACTCCTGCACTGTCATAGTGTCCCATTAGTTCAGAGTTCTCTCAAGTACCTTCTTATGTCAGAACATTTTATATCAGGTTACCTCCATTAATTTCATGACCATGCTTATTCAAAGTCTGTCCTGAGCTAGATACTGCTGTTAGTAGATGTAGAGTTTGTAAAGAAATATTCCAGTTACTCCTGATGTCTCCAAATTAACAGTCTACTTTTATTCACTTTTTATTCAGTCAAACTCCCAACAATGGAGAAGTTTCAATAATTTGTACACACAATATGTGACTTGATTCAGATTTCCCCCAAAATATAGTTTCTATATTTGTCTAATGACTCCAAGTAAACATTAAGGGATTGAATATATAAAACTTAGTAATACTTTAGAATCCAATTACCTTTGGAAGTCTTGGCTTCCTAAATGAGGCAATTGGAGAATATGATGTGCCCAAATGTAATTTATTTGATGACTGGGACATAGCATATGTATGCCTTTTCTTATGATTAATTCAATTGGGTCATGCACTACTTTTATCTACAATGATTTTTTTCAACTTTTATGTTTTACTTTTTAAGATTTGTTTTGTGTTGTGTTTGTGTGTGTGTGTGTCTGTGTGTCCATGCAGATGTGTATATGTTAGTACAGTGCCCACAGTGGGCAAAAGACAGTGTTAGGTCTCCTATAGCTGGAGTTGTAGGCAGTTGTAATTACAGGTTATGGATACTGGCAACTGAACCTGAGTCCTTTGGAAGAACCATATTCCCACTGAACTGGTAAGTTATCCTTCCAGATACTTTTATTATTTTTATAAGCTATCCATATCTTTCTAAAACTTTATCCTATCATAGATGCCATATGTAATGTGAAAATTGAAGAAGCTTAAGACTTTCTCAATTTATACATCTCTTTCAAACATTCTCATAACAGTCCCTTCTTTTCAGGATAGTTCTGGACCCACTTTTAACTCACGTATGGACAATGCTGCTTCCCATACACACTAAGCAGTTATTGTCAGTTATGCACCTTTTCTTGAATCTTCTCTATCTTTGACTGCATCTGCTACGAACCTGTTTGTCCCCCATGGTAATAAAAATACTTCCTTCTGTTTCTTTTACTTGCTTACCTATTTTTTCCAGGAGACAAACTCCAACTTCTTATATCTCATGTCCTTAAAAGTTCACTTAAAGATCTTATCACTTCCCCTAAAATATCACAGCAAAAGTCACTTAACAGATCATTTACAGTGTATTGGTCACTTCTCAATCCTCAGCCACCTTGACCTCTCCATAAAAAGTTGCTATCAATTATTCTGCTGTTCTTTCTATATTTGAACCTCTCTCATCTGACTTCCCAGACAATTTTCTACTGTTCTGACTGCTCATATAAGCAGTATCCCTGTATTTCATATTCCTCCAAGTTATTATTTGTCTACTCTAAGTCTAAACCATGTTTAGAGACCTGGACTTGTTATACAGTAAACCACCTATGTAATTGTCTTGGCACTGTAGTTACAGATCACTTAGACACAGATGATGCTCAGACCCCATGTGCAGTCTTGACTGAGGATAAAACATAAGGCCTTGTATATGCTAAGCAAATGCCTACCTCTGAGCACTATCTCTAGCTGAAACCTCTTGAGATATCCCGTACTGAAGCTTTAAATAGGCCTTCTCTCAGCCTTTGCAGGGCTTGTTTCAAATGTACTAAGAGGTGCTGGCAGGCCATCTTTTTAAAGTTTTTTAAACATAAATAAAGACAGCAAACTACCTTCAAATAAAATATACTCAGTGCTGCTATTCTGAAAACTTTATGACTCCATATCAGTCTAGAAAGTGGATGTCATGTGTGGAATATATAATGTACTCACTCATACCTTCCTTTGTTGATGGATTTGTTCCCAGGTGATGCTGGTGGCTGTAGTTGTTGGAGATGGGTCACCAGCGTTTGGGAAGCAGTGCTTTTCAAGTATTGTCTGCATTAGGAAAATTGCATTTCTCCATCATATTCTTCCTGCTATGATGCTGAGCCTTACCTGAGGACACAGTAATGGAACTGACTTACGACAGACTGAAATTTGTGAAATCGTGATATGAATAATTTTTCCTCCTTTAATTGTTGTGGTGATTTGAATGACAATGGACCCCATAGGATCACATATTTGAATACTAGGAACTGTTTGGGAAGGATTAGGAGGTGGGGTCTTGTTGGAGGATGTATGTAACAGGAGGCAGACTTGAGGTTTCAAAAGACTTTGCTATGCACAGTGTGCTCTTCCCCTGATTGCGGATAATGATGGGAGCCCTTGGCTTTTCCTGTCATCATGCCTTTACTCTGTCATCACAGTCTCCAACCCTCTGAAACTGTAAGTTCAATTAAGTGCTATCTTTTATAATTTCCCTTGGTTATGGTGCTACCACTGCAACAGAAAAGTAACCAAGGCAGCAGTTTGTACTAGGCAGTGGGCATTGCTGTGACAGAGTGACCATGTGGTATTTTAGAAGAATATGTAAGACTTTGGGCCTGTGGACTAGAAAAGCAGTAGCACACTATAAGCAAAACGAATGGGTCATTCTATTAGACGCTTAAAAGACAATAGTGCTGAGAGCAATGTGGATTACAGATGTCCACCTAAAGTGGTTTTGGGGGCAAACAATATTAGCAACTGTGGTAGAAACCATTCTTGTGATAGTTTAGAATGAAGCAGATAGATGCTCTGTGCCCTAATCCTAAGAAATTTCCTGACATTAAATTGAAATGTAGTGAACTCATTTCTTTGGTGGAAGATACGGCAAGATATTGACTCTGCGGCACGATAACTAGTCATCACTCTTCTACAATTCTACCATGAAAAAGAGCAAGTGGGATAAAAAGAAATGCAAGCTTTACACTTTGAAGAGAAGAGGGGCAACAGGAGCCAAGTCTTGTCCTGAAAGAGTTAAGGAGATTAAAGAAAGGACTGATCAACAATGAGATAAAGGGAGAGTGCCCTCAGGGACAGACCCCCAACTACCTAGCCTTCCAACTTATGAAAATGTAATGTCTGAGGAATCTTCTGCTTCTAAAAGACAACACACAAAAGCTGCTGCAAATGTGATTCAAGAGCGCCAACCTCATCCTTCCCAAGTAGGCAGCAAAACTTGGCAGTGTTGTCCAGTGGTTCTGGCTTTAGAGTTCTGAAGAATGCATGAATGAAAGGGTGATGGAACATTAATTCCTCTGCGACCAGGCAATGTGTGTCAGAGAACATCCTGTGAGGAAGCCAGTGAATGAAGCTGTGTGAGTGAAGTCTGAATTGTGTGGATGACCACAAGGTATTAGAGGTGCCAAAGCTGTGGGATACTTGCCAAGAAGAGCTGCATACAGAAATTGTAACTAGCCAAACAGAGAAAAGTGTGTTGCAGGCACCAAAGCTGAAAGAACTCCAGAAGCCTTGAACCATACCAATGACTCATAGCAATGAACACAAGTAAACATGAATGGACTAACGTAAATTGTGTGACTCACTGGGCAACACCACAGCTTCCTCACCAAGATTCTTCTCCTTTTTCTTTTTTGTTTGGTTGTTTGCTTGGTTTGGTTTGGGGTTTTTTTCTTTTAAATTATGTTTTGTTTTTGAGGGGGAGGTTTCAAGGGCAGAGGCCACATGCCAGGGGACAGGGAGATAAGTAGGATTGGAATGTGTGATGTGAAATCCACAAAGAATCAACAAAAGTTATAAGAAACGTTTTAATGCTGAAAGAGAAGAACTCTGGAAGCTCTTTGAGATCAAACACAGGGTAAAAGATTTAGAGTCTGCACTTCTGGGCTTTAATCTTTCTTGGGTCCAGTATTTCCTCACTATGCCCCAATTCCTCCCTTTTTGAATAGTACTGTGTATTATGTGTCATTATATGTTGTGAGTATATATTTGCATTTTAATCCTAAAGGGACTTATAGATTGCTGAATCTCAGAAGAGACTTTGAGTTTTTTGTTTGTTTTTGTTTTTTACACACTCAAAGTTTGCATTTATTTCAGTATGTATTGATATCTAAGCATGTAAATAGAACTTTGTATAGTACCTTGTACTGGCCTTTCCATTTGGGAACCTTTTGCCCACATTCTCATATACAGTCGCTAGAAACGGTCATCAGTATTTCAGTCAGATATTGTCTTATGCTGGCTGTCAATATGCAGGAAAAATTGCCTAAAATAGATAAATTCTCTTGATACTCTATTAACTAATCCTGTAACTTTTGGGGAGCAAATTTATCTGTGATAAATGTAAAAGGAATTGTGATTTTAATGAAGGTATGAATTCCACTAAGGTTGTTATGGTAGCTGAGAAATGGTTAAAGAATCTAGAAAATGGGGCCTGGAGAGACGGCTCAGTGGTTAAAAGCACTGTCAGCTCTTCCAGAGGACCCTGGTTCAATTCCCAGTACCCACATGAAAATTTACAGCTGTCTGTAACTTCAGTTCCAGGGGATCTGACATCTTCACGCCAATGCATACAAAATAAAGTTTATTTAGAAAATGATCAGTGTTAATAAGAACATCTCCCAGCCAACACTGAGAGTTTCTGTACATATTAGGTTTATTTCACTTGCTTCTTTTGGATATGGAGTTGGAAGTTGTTTTTTTTTTAATTTAATTTAAATTAGAAACAAGTTTGCTTCACATGTCAATCCTAGCTCCCTCTCCCGCCCACCTTCAACCCTCCTCCAAACCCTCCCACGGTCTGTCATATGCCCTGGGGCAGGGCCTAGGCCTTCCCCATGTGTCCAGGTGGAGACAGCATCCCTCCATGTGGATAGGCACCCAAAGTACATCTGGATAACAGGGCTAAATGTTGATTTATTGCCTGAGGCCCCAAAGGATGCTGAGGCCTCCTCACTGACACCCACATTCAGGGGGTCTAGATCAGTCCCATGCTGGCCTCTCAGCTATCAGTCTGGGATCTATGAGCTCCGTCTTATTCAGGTCAGTTGACTCTGTGGGTTTCAGCCTCCAAGTCATAACATTGTTGCTCATCACTCCTCCCTCTCTGCAACTGGGTTCCAGGAGTTCAGTTCAGTGTTTAGCTGTGGGTGTCTGCCTCTGCTTCCTTCAGCCACTGGATGAAGGCTCTAGGATGGCACACAAGGAAGTCATCAATCATGTTATAAGGAAGGGCATTTAAGGTAGCTTCTCCTACATCCGAGGTGCAGGGATGGTTCAACATATGAAAATATATCAATGTAATTCAACATATAAACAAACTGCAAAAGAAAAACCACATGATCATCTCACGTGATGCGGAAAGAGCCTTTGACAAAATCCAACACCCCTTCATGATAAAGGTCCTGGAAGAGATCAGGGATAACAGGAACATACCTGAACATAATAGAAGCAATATACAGTAAACCAACAGCTAACATTGAACTAAACAGAGAGAAACTCAATGCAATTCCTCTAAAATCAGGTACAAGACAAGGGTGTCCTCTCTCTCTCTATCTCTTCAATATTGTACTTTAAGTTCTAGCTAGAGCAATAACACAAGAAAAGGAGATTAAGGGGATACAAATTGGAAAGGAAGAAGTCAAACTTTCACTATTTGCAGATGATATAATAGTTTACATAAGTGACCCAAAAAACTCTACAAGGGAACTCCTTCAGCTGATAAACACTTTCAGCAAAGTGGCAGGATACAAGGTTAACTCAAAACAAATCAGTGGCCCTATTATAAATGGGCTAAGAAAGAAATCAGAGAAACATCACCCTTTACAATAGCCCCAAACAACATAAAATATTTGAGGATAACGCTAACCAAACAAGTGAAAGACCTGTATCGCAAGGACTTTGAGTCTTTAAGGAAAGAAATTAAAGAAGATACCAGATAATGGAAAAAATCTCCCATGATCTTGGATTGGTAGGATTAACACAGTAAAAATGGCAACCTTGCCAAAAACAATTTACAGAATTCAATGCAATCTCCATCAAAATATCGGCACAATTTTTCACAGACCTTGAAAGAACAATACTCAACATTATATGGAAAAACAAAAGACCCAGAATACCCAAAACAACCCTGTACAATAAAGGAACTTCTGGAGGCATCACCATCCCTGACTTCAAGATCTATTATAGAGCTATAGTCTTGAAAACAGCTTGGTATTGACACAAAAATATACAGGTAGACCAATGGAATCGAATTGAAAACCCTGATACTAACCTGCACACCTTTGAACATTTAATATTTGACAAAGAAGCTAAAATTATACATTGGAAAAAAGACAGCATCTTCAACAAATGGTGCTGGCATAACTGGATGCTGGCATGTAGAAGACTGCAGATAGATCCACGTCTATCACCAGGCACAAAACTTAAGTCCAAATGGATCAAAGACCTCAACATAAATCCAACCACACTGAAACTCTTAGAAGAGAAACTGGGAGGTACCCTTGAACAAATTGGTACAGGAGAATGCTTCCTGAACATAAGACAAGTAGCACAGACAGTGAGGTCAACAATTAATAAATGGGACCTCCTGAAACTGAGAAACTTCTGTAAGGCAAAGGACACAGTCAACACAGACAAAAAGGCAGCCCACTGAATGGGAGACTTTGAGTTTTTATATGGTGTTGAGACTGAAAGACTATGGGTAATTTGGAAGCTGGATTTAATGCATTTTGTATTACGGTATGGGAACAAGCTTATGGGTGACAAAGGATGGAATGTAATTGCTTGAATGAGAATGTCCCCCATGGGCTCATATGTTTGATTACTTGGTCACTAAGAGCAAGTCTTATTTACATTTTTAGGTTACAAGTGCTAGGTTAAGTACTTAAGCTCTGATGTTTACCTTCAATGTTAATGGCGCTTCAACAATTATTATATTCTTTCCGTATGATATAAATTACCTGTCAAATCTGGAATTTTGTGTTATTTTAATATTAAACATAATAAAAAAGTTACTAGATTAAGGGTTAGATAATTGTTTCCAAAAAAGTTTTACTGTACTTCCTATTCTTAAGAGAATAAAGATACTGTCAGCTCATAGTACGTTTTTTTGTCATTGTCTATGAGAAAAAGGCTTACTTCTGTTTCCATACTACTTGTTGATGATACTGTTGTCAAAATTTGAAACTATCTTAAGCTGAAGGCATAAAGAAAATCTAGAAAGGTTATTTTTCCAGAAGTCATTAATTTTAGTCTATGCCAATTTAATACCAAAAGAATTCTTAAAGTTGATGGTGCTATCATTTTTAATAGTAATTGGTCTTAAGCTTAACTTGATCAGCTTGTACAATTACCACTATTCTGTGTCTGCAGGTGGATCTCACTTTTCTGAAACCTTGTGTTCATGCTAAGCTGAACTGTGTTCGATATCGAAGATTTTGAGAAGTATCACGCTTTGTATTTGAATTCGGCTGAAGCTTTCCCTCCTCTGACTAACTCACGAATAGACTCATGCAGAAGATAGACTGTTAATTTCCTACCATGGGATCGGGTCTCTAAAGGGTATCACAGACAAATGAAGTGGTCAGCTTTTGTTACCACATTCATGGCAGGAGTTGAGTGAGTAAGTACTCATTTGTGGATGCTATGATTTGAGAAAATCCTGTATTCCAAAGTGGGCTTTGTTCTTTCTCTTTTTGTGTCCTCTCATGTGTTCATAATGTTACATTGTAGTGAAGAGTTTCTAAAATATACATTTTAGTATTTGGATTAAGAACTCATAGTCCATGTGGGACTACTTCATTTCCTGAAGTTCTAAATTTAAGAAGTTACGCTATTGTCATCTATGGCATATGGACCAAAAAGGAGAGCCTTGAATAAAAGGACTAATGAACATTGACTTTAAATTACTAGTTCACAAATAAGGCAATGATTAGAAATGCCACTCATATTTTGCTCATATTTTAGTTAGGATGTTTGTGTTTGTATGAAACTGGAGACATCTTAGCAAACATATGATTATACTAAACTCTCTGTTCCAGATTGCAAACCTCCTGCCCATCCAGCAGACAAATTACAGGAATCCTGGGACAGGCAAAAACAAAGAATTACTGAACACCACTATCATCTGATATGAGAACCCCAAATACTAGTGGAGCTGCACCTCTACAACACGGCCATGCCTGTTCCACTGACCATTAGATGGCAGAGCACATTGTGGAGCTTGGAGACTGTTAGAATCAAACATTCCTATGTTGTGTATCAGAAGTTTCATATCGATGAAATTATTTTGCCTATTTTAGCCTCTGTTCTGCTGTCTGTAAAATGAGAATAAAACTAAACATAGTAACTCACAAAAGCTGTCACTACTTAATAAAAGTCCATAATTAGTACAATATACAATGTAAGCATGAAATAAAAGACCATTATTAAATAGTACATTGAAAGTTATAATTCATATAAAGGAATTATACTTTATCCATACCTAAAACCAAATGACCAAAAGAGCTAAATACTAAGTGACAATATGTTAAAAATGTTAATATCAATGATCATAACATTGGATTCAAGAGAAATGATGACTGAGACAAAGGAGGTTCCTAGTCTGATTTTCCTTTTGAAAGAATATTTTTGCTATTATAATAGCCTATAATAGAATAGGTGTAAACTAGGAGACGATGGTAAGTTTTTTGCTTTGTTTTTTTTCTCTTATATAAAAAGAAGCCTGGAGGTAAGCAGGTAAGAGCTGTGGTGCAGATCTCATAAGAAATTAGAAGCCCAAGGTCGTTGTGCTTTACAATTCTTCTAACATCAGCTCCATTTTCTAAGTCACTAGATGGCTACTGGAACTCAGGCCATCACACCAATATTCCAGCAGAAGGAAAGTAAATGGTGTTACAGAACATTTATTTACACTCTAAAGATGTATCTCTTCCTAACGCACCTTCTGATGGGTAGTAAAGAGCTAAGTGACCAATATCTAGGCAGGAGAAAATAGGCAGAACTTCCCGGCAGAGAGGAGGAATCTAGGTTCATAATTTCTCCAGCAGACTAAGAGCAAGTCAGGGCTGGAGAGATGACTCAGCAGTTAAGAGCACAGACTGTTCTTCCAGAAGTCCTAAGTTCAATTCCCAGCAACCACTCGGTGGCTCACAACCACCTTGAATGTGATCTGGTGGCCTCTGCTGGCATGCAGACAGAAGATTGTATACACAATGAATAAATAAAATATTTAAAAAAGAGCAAGTCAGATGTTACATACTAAGAAGAGGTAATCTAACCACATGGCAGAATGTAGATAAAAATATGGATTAATTAAGTTAGAAAAGCCAGTTGAGAAAAAGCCTAAACTAAGGCCAAGCTTTCATAATTGGTAATAAGTCTCCAGGTCAGACAAGAAAGTTGGCTACATAAATGCCCTAAAAAATCACCTAAAGTTCTACTTACATGATCATGGCAGTCTTCAAGACAGCAGAGTGTCCAAACATAGCATGTTGTTGCCCAACTGAATATCAGAATTCTATTATAATTAATTATGTTTAGCCTAAGTATTGAGTAAGTAACTAGCAATCTCAATGGCAAGTCCTAGTGTAAAATAAGCACATCTGTAGAGAACATTTTTGTACAAATACAGTAAGTAAAGTAAACTGAAAATGTACAATCAGTTAAACTATATAGAGCACAGTTAACAAATGAGTAAAAAACAAATCTGTTGTAAACAAAACCACAAAAATCTAACAGGATCCATCAAATAAGACACACAGAAACACACACACACACACATTTACAGAAATGAACATTCACATTCACATGTAAATACATACACATGCATACATATACATTCAAACCCACATGCACATACATGCATGTGCACACAATGTTCACATATATTTGCGTACACATGAGACAGAACAGTTATACATTATGAAAAAGAATTTTTAACTATAGGAGAATGCAATATATAAAGTTATATAACAGTTATTTAGAAAAATAGTTTCCATGGACAATTTAGAGAACTGAAATTTAATTAAGGAGAAAAAATTGAATAAATAAACATTAATCTTAAGATGCCATGAATGATTTTTCTTCTCCAAAGGCACATGAGCCACTGTTTAACAGTTAAGTTAATCGAAACTAAAGAAAACATAAATTTATCTTTAAGATTATCCCATAGAAAGACAAAATTGTAATTTCCAGTTAATAAAAATAATAAAACAGTAAAATGATTCTGCTAAATAAACCTGACCAGAGGTATAATGACAAAAAGGATAACCACAAATCTTCAGAAAATAGATGCAAATCCCCAAACAAAGTAACAACAAACAGTCTGATCATGCTCTGTAAAGAAGAACTTACATATGATAGTGTTAGAGATGAATTAATTCTTCTTGGAGGCCATAGGAACAAAAATCACAGACAATTTTCATACACAATTGAAAGGTAATTGGTAATTTTAATATCCATTCATGAGAAGTAAAATTCAAACAATGATGAATAGTTTTTTTAGTATAAATATTCCATTTGAATAGCTGTCATCATATTTAGTGTAACAACTTTAGACTTGTAAATAATACAAGTAGGAAACTCATTGTTATTTATTTAACTTATTTTGGAAAGTGCTAAACAATGTAATTTGAGTAAAATAAAGTATATTCTTTGTTTTTTGTATTTTTAAAATCTGTGTGTACGTGTGTGTGTGTACGTGAGTGTGCGCGTACGCCCATATGAGTACCAGTGCTGGGAGTGGAGATCAAAAGTGTCAGATGCTCCAGACAATTGTGAGTTCTCCACCATGGGCCATCTGAGATCAAACTTGAGCTTTCTGCAAAGGATGTGCTTTAATCAATTGAGCCATCTTTCCTGCCCCTGAATACATGCTTATGTCAAGAGGAGGGGAACACCTTTTTTAAAAAAAATTCTTCTCTCATGTAATACATCCTAAAGACAGTCTTCCCTCCCTAGTTTCCACCCCACACCTCTCTCCCCTAGATTCACTCCTTTGTTTCTCTTCAGAAAAGAGCAAGCCTCCCGGGGATATCAACTGAACATGCCAAACAAGTTACAAAAGACTAGGCACAAACCTTTATACCAAGGCTGGATGAAGCCATCCAGTAGGAGGAAAAGGGTTCCAATAGCAGGCAATGCGACAAAGACATTCCAAGTACCATAGTTAGGAGTCCCACAAGAACCCCAACCTAAACAATCACAACATATATGCCAAAGACCTATAGCAGACCCATGCAGGCTCCATAAATGTCACTTCAGTCTCTGTGAGCCCCATGTTTTCTTGGTGTCCTTGATCCCTTTGGCTCCTATAATCCATCCTCTGGTCCTCAGCAAGGTTCTACAAGCTCCATCTAATGTCTGGCTTTGGGTCTCTGCATCTATGGAGAGACACAAATTTTAATAATCTCCAACTAATATGATTTAGTTAAATACAAAAGGAAAAAGAAAAGCTATTTTCTCCTTAAATTAATTTATCAAATTAATGAATTTATTAAATTAATTAAATAAAGGAATTGAAAAACTTAGGAAATTTTAGTAGTGGTTCACACATATGAGGGCAATAGTTTTCTTAGATACTTATAACAACCACTGATAGATTATCTGCATTCTTTGTGTAGAAGAAAGATCCTTTTTTCTACTATTTTTCAATTGCTGGCCAGTAACAATATTATGAAATATAAAATACATGCCAAATAATAAACAAAATATAAGCTGTATAGGAAGACATTTTCCCTGATGAAGAGAAAGATAAAATGTTCTATCACCTATCTGCCTGTTTGTTTATCACTTAAGCAGGCTTCATGTAGACTCAGTTTATCAATCATCAGAGTTTGTAGCAAACACCATAAATGTTACACATCTTATTGAGCAAAAACTAAGAAAATTTGCATACTCAATTTAAAATTACTCTTTCAGTCATTGTTTTGACTTCTGGAAAACACACAGAATTACGCAGTCATCTGCATAATTAAAAATTGGGCCGGGCTTTAGTGGCACACTCCTTAATCCCAGCACTTGGGAGGAGGCAGAGGCAGACAGATCTCTGTGAGTTCGATACCAGCCTGGTCTACTGAGTGAGTTCCAGGACAGGCTCCAAAGCAACACAGAGAAACCCTGTCTTGAAAAAACAAACAAACAAACAAAAAAGGAACAATTCCATCTCTACAGCTGCTTGCTTTTGCTCTCATTGGGTCTTTTCTAGAATTTCATATAAACTAAGTATAGCAGGTCACACCCCTGATCTCATCCCTCAGGAGACTGAGGCAATAGGACCCTCAGTTCAAGGCCAGTCTGACTATATAGTGAGATCTTATCCTTACACTGAATTTTTACTTCATTGTTAAAATTGTTGATCATCTTTTTCATGTTGGCTGGTTATCTGTGTACATTCTTTATTAATTCTTCGTACATTTTGTACACTTTAAAAATTATTTGTCCTAAATTGGCAATTAAATTACTTTGAATGCCATCTATAATATGAAACACCCAGGCATTGGTAGTAATTTCTGAAAAAGAGCCATGGCGAAAAAAAGGTGTCCTTCCTAAAATGAAAACACACTAGAAATAGAACCAAAAGCATAGAACTCTACAGCTTAATATAAAGGTGTTAATTCAAGAGGTTTATCACAACTGCAATTAATGGTCTTGGAACGATGACTATTTTGAAAATAACAGCCACAATTCTATAACAAAATTTTAATTATCAATTATAATTAATATCAATTAAAATTATATTATCTAGAGGGCAAAAGTACATGCAAACTAAACATTCATGTAGGCGCTAAACACATTTCATTTAAGCACCTCCAGTATGCCCGGGTATGGTTTAACTATCCTTCCAAGCACTGCAGATAAGGCACAGTGAACAAAGCAATGTGCTTCTTGCCACTACTGAACTTACTAGGACTCTATAGAGAGGAATCAACAATAAACGTGGTAGCTAAGCATTAAATAAGATAAGGCCACAGAAAGGCTAGTGAGGTAGCTTGGTGGGTAAAAATGTTTGGCACTAAGCCTGAGAACTGAGTTCCATCCCTGGGTTGGACCCACACGATGGAAGGAAATAACCAGCTCCCACAGGTTGATTTCTGGCCTCTACACTTCTTTGTATCTTACATGTGTGCATACACATAAATAACATAAATAATTTAACAATAATAAAAATCAAATAGGAAGTCATGTCATCAAAAATCATCAGTATATCACAATGAGTGGGATGGAGTTTGGATTACAACATTAAGTTTTTTGACTTTCACCATAATAATCTTAAATATGTGTACCTGTGTAAGCACCAACCTAAATTATATGCTTAAATATAATAACTTTCTATGGTGACGTATTTTTTATGATCTAATAAAACCACGGGACATCAGAATGCAAAGCCTTCCATACTAGATAGCTATACAAGCTGAGCAGTGGTGACACAAACCTTTAATCCCAGCACTCAGGAGACAGAGGCAGATAGATCTCTCTGAGTTCAAGACCATCCAGGGCTACATGAGAGTGAATCAGTCTAAAAGAAAAACAGAGCTCATACCTTTAATCACAGCACTAGAGAGAATATAGGTATCTCAGTGCAGTCTCAGAGAGCAGTCGAGGATTCTGAGACTTGGTGGTGAGCAGTGCAGTCTGGAGATACAATCTGAGGTACAGTGGATCACCCTTTGGTCTGAGCAATGGTAGAGGTGAGACTTCTCTAGTGGCAAGCTGCTATGCTTTTCTGGTCTCTAGTAGCTTTATTACATCATAAACAACATATCACCACAACCTTCTGATGATAGAATTGTGTTTTCTTTTTTGCATTTCTATATTTCTTTCACTTCTTCATAGTGAGCACATTGCTCATGCAAAAAAAAACATGATTAACACTTTTCAAAATGAATTAAAGTGCTAACCTACATAAAATAAAACTGTGCCTTTTCATTGACACAGGGTGGCAATGGTCTAGCTTAGACCCTAGCACAACAAACAAATAACAAGCAAGCAAAACATAACAGTACCTCGTTAATTAAAGCATAAGGCTGCTTTCTTATAAATCAATTTTTATTTATTTGATAGACACTGATGTAGCATTTACAATGTATAGTCTCAGGCCATTGCCTAAGTGCTTTGAATTTAATAATTTCCTTCATTTTCATATTACACTCCCCATCTACTAGATGAGGGAATGGAATGAAGTATTAGGAGCAGTGACTTGCCTAAGGTCATGGCAAGACTGGACTGGAATGCTTGGGATAGTGTCTGAGGAGCATTAGTGTAAAACAGGAACCATTAATACTTCCTTCCCCTTGCATTGATGTCACCTAATAAACCTGAAGCTGTCAGTTTTCGAGTGTTTTACTTTCACTGGTTTTCATTGTGGAATCACCTTGGAAACTTGCAGTCTAAGAGGATCCTTCTAGAGAGTCTGACTAAATACTAACTACTAAATTCCTGGCATAGAGCCTTTGGAGGATTCCAGATAATTCTTGTAAACCATCAGGCTTGGAAACGTCATATCTTGTTAAGAGAAGCTTTTAGCTGCTAATCTTCCTTCTTTTTGTCACAATGGTTTTGAAGTTATTAGTAGAATCTTGTTTATTTGTTTGATATTTGGGACAACATGTCACATAGCTTAAGGCTGACCCATTATGTGTAATCAAACATTGGATCAATACAGCTTTCCAGTTACTTATAATTATTGTAAGCAAATAGCTATCTTCAATTATTCAAATACTTTGTATTCATGGCAAATTTAAAAGTTTATCTTAATGTATAATTTTCACGTGAAACTTTTGTTTGAGGGAATGATACAAAACAAATAATTTCTAATTATTTTATGGCACATTTCTATTGTGATATTTCTAAAACTATGTGAATTAGAGATGCTTTCTGCCTTTTAGTAAATGGAAATAAAGTTCACTTGTGTGTTTGTGTGTGTGTTTGGTTGCACATATTTGAGTTTTATATTTCACTCTGCTTTATATGTAATTCTTGTTGTATGATTGCATATGACTTCTTGATGCTGCTATGTAATTCTCTAACATCCACTGCACATTAGTATGGATAACATCATATACTAGTAGATATAACTGTGCAAAATTAAGACCCGAGGAAATTATGAGGTGACCCAAGGACAAATACATTTCCCTGATAATTTAGATGAGTGGAAATTCTATGACAGTTTGGGCCATTTGCATAATTGCTTTACTTTTATACTTCACTTGCTTTTTTATTAAGTTACTACATAAACATTTAAATTTTTATCTTAAGATAAATTGTCTGTAAGAGTTATGAATTAATCAATGAATTCTTCCTTCTCAATATTCAGACATTATTTAATCATTCTGTTCCATTTTCCATACCTGCAATATTCTATAACAGTGATATATAATAGTACAGGAAAATAGATCCAGAATGTTTACCCACTATTGAGAAAACCTATAAACCTAGGCTGTAACTTTTTCAAATAGTATGCTTTTACTTGTAACATCTACTTTATCCTGAAATTCTTTTTTTTTAGAATAGATAACATAAAGTGATTTTATTTTACTTATATTCTTTTTCAATTTAAATTAGAAACAATCTTGTTTTACATGTCAATCCCACTTAACTCTCCCTCCCCCCTCCCGTGCCCCCCACCAACCCTCTATCCTATCCCCTTTCTGCTCCCCAGGGAGGTTAAGGCCTTCCATGAGGGATCTTCAAAGTCTTTCACCTAATTTGGAGCCCTCCCCGTGTTTCTAGACTGAGAGAGTATCCCTATATGTGGAATGGGCTCCCAAAGTCCATTTTTTCTCAATATATGTTTTTATTTAAATTAGAAATGTGAAAGTTTCACATGTCAGTCCCAGATCCTTCTCCCACTCCTCCTCCCTTGTCCCTCCACCAGTCCCCCAGCCCCCCACCCAATCCCCACATCATTCCCCAGGGAGGGTGAGACCCTCCTTGGAGGGATCTCTAAAGTCTGTCTTTAAATATTAGTTACAATATTAAAGACAAAACAACAACAACAGAAAGAACAGAAAAAGAATATTTAATCAGTGTGACCACATTGGAAAGAACAGGTTGAGGAGTGCACTTATTCCAAATCCATAGGTACAAGGATTTTTTTTTAACAATATTATCCAACTCTCTAAATATAAGCCAAGTTTTAGGTACTCACTTTGAATGCATATTGTCAGAAATTTCTATCCTAAATTGGAGCCTCTTATAAACAAGCAAGAGACAGAGGGAGGAAAAATATTCAGCAAATGGAGGTACTTATTAACCAGTTTGTCTCCCTTTTATAGGAACTTCTAAAATTTAAGCACTATAGAGCTCTAAACCTATTCTGTTTGTATTAGTGGACAGCAAAAGTCCCAAATCGGGGATTAGGAAAGCTTACAGGTTATTAGGAAAACCCTTTTAAGGAAAATCATAGCCATTAGGCTGCTGCTGAGGAAGTTGAGATTTGTTCGAAGAATCTCTTAATTATCTTTCCTGCTGCTGGAGCTCAAGCTTCTATATAGAAGAGAGAGTTCTTCCTTTTAATGAACTCCCAAATGCTATGGCATTTATTAAGGAAATATTTTAAGTAGAACTATTATTCAGAAAATACTTTATTCTTTGCTCACTACCACTGTTTCAGCCTTCATCTTATTAGCTTCCTAGTGGGAGGCTGAAAGAAATCTATGAGAATGCATGGTATTCTCTGTGTGGCTTTATTCCTTACTTAACTTTGTACTCCCCTGATAAAATAAATAAATAAATAGGTTCAGACCCTAGTAAGTACTGATCAAGAAAACTCTTAATCAGGTTGCAACATGCTTATATCTATTCAGATTCCTGATGTTTTCTTTGCTCTTTAACTTGTAATTAATACAAATAAAATTAAAGTTCTGGAGAAATCCGTCTGTCTTCGGATTTCTATTGCTGTGAAGAGACACTATGACCATGGCAACTCTTATAAGGGGAAACATTTAATTGGGTGGCTTACAGTTTCACAGGGTTAGTTAGTTATCATAATGGTAGAACATGGTGGTGTGTAGACAAACTGGTGGTAGATAAGAAACTAAGCATTCTACATCTTGCAGGCAAATAAGAAGTGAATTGTCTCAATGAACTTAGCTTGAGCATATGTGAGACCTCAAAGCCCTCCTTTAGAGTAGCACATGTCCTCCAACAAGACCACACCTACTCCAACAAGGCCAAACCTACTAATTGTGCCACTCCTTTTGAAGGCCATTTTCTTTTAGACTACCACACAGTATAACCAACATTATACTAAAAGTATGACCTGTTTAGCCCTCAACCAACAAACAGTAGTCATGCAGGAAGTACCATGTAGACCTGACCACTGGAGTTAACATTTATAAAGAAACATGAAAATTTTGATATAGGTTCACATTAATGCCCTCCCCCTAATGATGCCACATACTTTGATGATTCCCCCATGGAAGGTCTTATCCTCCCTGAGGAGTGGATGTGGGGGATGGGGGTTGGTGGTGAACATGGGAGGGTGAGAGGGAGAAGGAACTGGGATTGATATGTAAATAAGATTGTTTCTAATTTAAGTAAAAATTATATTAAAAAGAAAAAAACTGAAAATGTTTGACACTTGTCGTTGCAGTATCTTTGAAGAACTGTGTTGGAATTTTGATGGGGAATCAAGTGAATGTATAGACTGCTTTTGGTACAATGGCCATTTTTACTACAAATAATCCCACTGATCCATGAGCATGGGAAATCTTTCCATATTCTCATATTGTCTTTCATTCCTTCAGTTTTTTTTGAAGTTTTAACCACAAAATGTCTTTTGCTTGGTTGGCTAGATTTATTTCAAGAGGTTTCATATTATTTGAGGCTGTTGTGAAATGTATTCTTTTCCTAATTTCTTTTCTCAGTCTTTCATTTGGATGTAGAAAGACTACTGATTTTCATGAGCTAATTTAGTATCCAGCTCCTTTGCTGAAAGTGTTATCAACTGTATGAGCTTCCCAGGGGAGTTTTTTATGTCATCTATATATACTATCATATCATCTTCAAGTTAGGGCACTTTGACTTCTTCCTTTCCACCTTGTATCTGCTTCTCTCCCTCAGGTATCTTATTGCCCTAAGACTTAAGGAGCCCTATTGAATAGGTACACAGAGAGTGGACAACCTTGTCTTTCTCCTCATTTTAGTGAATTTTAGTTGATTTTCTCTCCATTTAATTTGATGTTGCCTATAGGCTTGTTGTAACTGCCTTTATTATGATTAAGTATGTGCCTTGTAACCATAATCACTCTAGGACTTGTATGATGGAAGGGTGTTGAATTTCATCAAAGGCCTTTTCTGCATCCAGAGTGTTTCAATGTTTTTATGGTGCAACATATGTTTCAACATATGCAAACTGAATCATTCTTGCATGACTGGGATGAGCATGGTAGATGATCTTTTTGATGTATTACTGGTTTTAGTTTTCAAGTATTTTTATCTCCAATTGATAACCACTTGCACATGAAAATTTAGTTTTCTCTAAGGAGTCTCATACAGGAAACAAAGAAGAAAAACTCTTAAGGGTAGTCTGCATGTGCAACGAAAGATGGCCAACAGAAAACCATTCAATTACTTCTTTGAATGTTCCTTGTCTCAAAATGTCATGTCAAGGTTTTAAATTCCCCCTTTTAAAATATTATCTTATTTTTATCTTTATCTTATTTTATTTATATACATTTTGCTCTTTCTATTTTTACTCCACAGGTCCTTTGCTAAGACTTCCAGTTCAGTG